ATGCTGCTTGGCCTGCTGTGTTCATCCAGCCCTGCACCTTGTTGTCTCGGATTCTCCAGCATCTGCAGTTCCTACTATCTCCCATACATAAGTTAGTTGATTTTAGCCATTCTACAATGGACTTTGGCACCCCAGGTTATAGAGAAAGGCAGGCAGCTGGGTTCCTGCTCCTGCTCACTGTCCGCTCACACCTGAGTTAGAGAGAGGGGAAATCATTGAGTCATACATCGTGAAAACAGACCCTTCGGCCCAACTTGTCCACGACGACTAAGTTTCCTAAACGGAACTAGTCCCTTTTGCCTGTGTTTGGCCCATATCCCTCTTAAACCTTTCCTATCCATGTACCTGTCGAAATGTCTTTTGAACGGTGTAATTGTATCTGTCTCTACGACTTCCTCTGGCAGCTCATTCCATACACGCACCACCCTATGTGTGAAAAAGTTTCCCCTCAGGTCACTTTCAAATCTTTTCCCCCTCACTTTAAACCTATGCCGTCTAGTTTTGAACTCCCCTACCCTGGATAAAAGACCTTAGCTATTCACCTTATCTATGCCCCTCATAATTTTTTAAACCTCTATAAGGTCACCCCTCAGCCTCCTATGTTCCAGGGAAAGAAGTCCCAGCCCATCCAGCCTCTCCTTATAACTTAAACCCTCCAGTCTCAGTAACATCCTTGTAAATCTTTTTTGCATCCTTTCCAGTTTAATAACATCCTTCCTATAGAAGGGTGACCAGAATTGTATGCGGTACTCTTACCAATATTCTGTACAGCTGTAACATGATGTCCCAGCTCCTGTACTCAGTGAGTTGACGGATGAAGGCAAATGTGGCAAATGCCTTTTTCACCACCCTGCCTACCTGTGAAGCCACTTTCAAGGAACTCTGTACCTGCACCCCTAGGAATCTCTGTTTGACAACACTCCCCAGGGCCCCATTATCAACTGTACAAGTCCTGCCCTGGTTTGCCTTATGAAAATGCTTCACTTTGCATTTATCTAAATTAAACTACATCTGCCCACTGGCCCAGTTGATCAAGATCCTGTTGTACTCATAGATGACCTCCTTCACTATCCACTATACCACTAGTTTTGGTGTTATCCACAAACTTAGCAACCTTGCTTCCTGTTTTCTCATCCAAATTGTTTCTATAAATGATGAACAACCGTGGACCTAGCACTGATCCTTGTGGCACACCATTGGTCACAGGCCTCCAGTCTGAACAATAACCCTCTACCACCACCCTCTGTCTCCTAGCCTTAAGCCAATTTTGTATCCAATTGGCTAGATCTCCCTGGATCCCATGTGATCTAACCTTGCTAACCAGATTATCATGTGGAACCTTGCCAAAGGCCTTGCTAATGACCATGCAGACAATGTCTCTGCCTTCATCTGTCTACTTGGTCACCTGTTCAAAAATCTCAATCAAGTTTGTGAGACATGATTTCCTACACACAGTCATGCTGACTATCCCTAATCAGTCCTTGCCTTTCCAAATGCATGTTGATCCTGTCTCTCAGAATCCCCTCCAACAACTTACCCACCACTGACGTTACGCTCATCCGTCTATTTTCCTTTTTCTCCAGTCTTCCTGCTCCTTACCTGTGACTATCGATCACCGTCCACTGATCGCTGGGTCACAGAGAGGGTAAATTAACCAGACTTCCTGCTCTTGATCACTGACCAGTGACCCTTGGGTTAGAATACTCCCCACTTGCCTGGATGAGTGCACCTCCAATAACAAGAAGGTATTATATATTGGTAAAACAAACAAGGACAAGACTTATACAATTAAAAGGAGGGCCTTGAGCAGTGTTGTTGAAGAGAGAGACCTAGGGGTTCAGGTAACATAATTCTTTGAAGTTTGCATCACATGTAGACAGGGTGGTTAAAAAGGTATTTAGCATGCTTGTCTTTATTTGCTCTGACCTTTGAATATAGGAGCTGGGACGTTATGTTGAGATTGTATAACGTTGACGAGGCCTCTTCTGGAGTACTGTGTCCAGTTCTGGTCACCCTGTTATAGGAAGGTTATTATTAAGCTGGAGAGGACTCCGAAGAGATTTACAAGGATGTTGCTGGGTATGGCAGGTTTGAGTTATAAGGGGAGGCTGGAAAAGCTGGGACTTTCTTCATTGGAGCGTAGGAGGTTGAGAGGTGACCTTGTAGAGGTTTATAAAATAATGAAGGATATAGATAACGTGAATGGCAGGTGTCTTTCCTCAGGGTGGGGGATTTCAAGACTAGGGAGCACATTTTTTTAAGGTGAGAAGAGAAAGATTTTAAAAAGTCATGAGAGGCAATATTTTTTACACAGGGAGTGGTTTGTGTGTGGAATGAACTTCCAGAGGAAGTGGTGGATGTGGTTACAGTTACAATGTTTAAAAGATATTTAGAAAAGTACATGAATAGGAAGGGATTGGAAGGATATGGGCCAGGAGCAGGCAAGTGGGACTAGTTTAGTTTGGGATTATGTTCGGCATGGACTGATTGGACCAAAGTGTCTGTTTCCGTGCTGTATGACTCTATGACTCTAAGAAGTCTGACACCTTCCTGGACAGAGCAACCCATTTGTTTGGCACCATGTCCACAAGCATACAGTCCTTCCATCACCAGCGCTCAGTAGCTACAGTGTGTACTACCTACAAGGTGCACTGCAGAAGTTTACAAGGCTCCATATCGGGTACTTTCCAAACCCACAAGGTCTACAATCTAGAAGGACAAGGGCAGCACATATACATAACACCACTACTTTCAGGTTCCTTTCCAAGCCACTCACCATCCTGACTTGGAAGTATATTGCTGTTCCTTCAGTGTCGCTGAGTCAAAATCCTGGAACCCTCTCCCTAACAGCATTGTGGGTCTATCTAAAGCAGAAGGAGGTAGAGGTTCAAGAAGCAGCTCACCACCACTTTCTCAAGGGCAGTTAGGGATGGGCAATAAATGGTGGCAAGCCAGCAACGTTCACAATCCATTAATTTTAAAAAGAGGGGTAATCAGCTGGGGTTCCTGCTCCTGATTACTGTATATAAAGCTGATACACAAAGTCGTGGCTCACTATCAAGGGTGGCTATTTGGGGTGAGGTTTGGTGATGAGACAAACAGCCAAAGTTTAGCACTAAGTTACAGCACTGGTGGGGTTAGGTTTGTCATGGAATAACGCCAGGGTGCTGTATTAGTGTGAAACAAGTAACATCAAAGGACCGTGGATGCTGAAAATTAGAACGAGGAACAAATTTCTGGGAAAACTCAGCAGGTCTGGGCAACATCTGTGGAGAGAAAGCAGAGTCAATATTTTGGGTCCAATAAAACTTCTTCAGAACTGAAAGCTGAATTTTCCCAGCAATTTCTGTTTTTGTTACTCAACAAGTGTGGACAGGTCCCTCACTATGTAACTCTGGGTGGGGGTCTGTCGCTTCATAACACTGGTGTACTGGCAGGGAAAGGTCTGTCAGTGTCTCACACTGGGGTACAGTACTGCTGGGGACAGGCCTGTTGCTGTATAACACTGGGGTACAGTATTGATGGGGACAGGTCTGTCACTATTTAACACTGGGCTACAGCTCTGGTGAGGACAGGCCTGTCAGTGTATAACACTGGGGTACAGTACCGGTGGGGACAGGTCTGTCACTGTATAACACTGGGGTACAGTAGTGGGGGACAGGTCTGTCACTGTATAACACTGTGGTACAGTACCGGTGGGGGACAGGTCTGTCACTGTATAACACTGGGGTACAGTACCGGTGGGGGACAGGTCTGTCACTGTATAACACTGGGGTACAGTACCGATGGGGACAGGTCTGTCACTGTATAACACTGGGGTACAGTAGTGGGGGGACAGGTCTGTCACTGTATAACACTGTGGTACAGTACTGGTGGGGACAGATCTATGGAATGATCCTGGTGGGGCCAGGTCTGTCACTGCATAACACCAGGGATTGTAAGTTCATCTCTGCCTCTTCTGTTAATTTTGTTCTAGTTGGTGTCGGTCATTGTGGAATATGGTGGAAAACGATTCCGGGGAAGTGACCTCGTGACTCCAAAGGATGCTGTTGCCATCACGAAGCAATTCTTTAAAGGATTGAAGGTAGAGGTTAAATATGTCAGCTGAATTCACAGCAGCTGCTTTCACCCAAAGCTCCCTGCTGTGCCTTGCAGTACTGTCACAGGATGCCCAGTGATGTTCCCAATCGTTGGAGTGACAGGGACATTGGTGTGACAGGGTTCTCACCCTCAGTACAGGGATGTTTGGTTGACAGGGTTCTCACCCTCAGTACAGGGATGTATGGTGTGACAGGGTTCTCACCCTCAGTACAGGGATGTTTGGTGTGACAGGGTCCTCACCCTCAGTACAGGGATGTTTGGTGTGACAGGGTCCTCACCCTCAGTACAAGGACCCTTGATGTGACAGGGTCCTCACCCTCAGTACAGGGATCCTTGGTGTGACAGGGTTCTCACCCTCAGTACAGGGACCCTTGGTGTGACAGGGTCCTCACCCTC